ACATCTTCCCAGGCCTACACAAGCCCATCCTCCAACCTGACCTTGTGAAACTAGTTCTTCAAAGGCTTGGCAAACATGCAGCATAACAAATTCTAACGGTCACTCTTGAAAACAAATGCCAGGTGTTCCGAGCTGCTCCCACAATCAAGAGAGTGTTTCAATGCTTTACATGAAAGGAGTTGGATTTTTGTTACATGATCACAGCTGCTATTGAAACACAGAACAAGCTAGGGATGGAAAAGACAAGGGATAAAGAGAAAGGCATGAGTATGGGAAGAAAACCTCAGTGGCAGGGGCATGCATAAGACAGAAAGGATGTGAAAGCAACAAGGGAAGGAATATTGGAAGTCAGGTTGACAAACAGTGGCTCTGTTTCCAGTGGAGACCTATCTTTTCCCATTCACTTTCTCCCAAAGCCTAAGCTAAAAACGCAGAAACCCAAAACTTCTCAGGCTATACAGAAAGGAAAAGGCAGAGGATAGTCCCACAGATGGCATATTTTTTTTGTGCAACTTTGTGTTCAGCACCACAAGGATTACTGCATTAAAAATACATAGACTTGAGAGAGACAGTTTCACAGAAGGAAGTTCCTCAGGCTTTGCTTCCATTAGGTCAATAGGAATGTTGCTATTTGCTTCAATGAAAAGAGGACCAAGTCCTTACCTGACTGTCTTAAAATGTTACAAAACAGCAGGCTCTAATCAGTGACTGAAGCCTCCAGGCTTGTCCTGAAGCTGCTTGTTCACCACCTCCTGTTGTTTTCTGTGGAGGACTCCAAGGGTCTTGGCAAGGTGAGGGCAGAGTTTTTGCAAGGTCAGAGCAGAGTCTTTGCAAGGTGCATCCTTTCCTGGTGTCACTTCTGGTGCCTGGAGTGAATCACCTCATTTTCTCTTTCCTCTCTTACCTGGGTGCTCCACTTCCACTTTGCTTCTCAAACCTGTGACACCACTGGGGCTAGGTCAATGTCAGACTGACTTCCTAAGAACAGCAGATGAAATACTGTGAGGGTTCATACAAGCCACCTGCCCCACTTCCTTTTACATTTTTGTGTCTGTCTCCAGCCCTGTTTCTTCCTTTTAGTGCCTGTTGTATTCAAATGCATTCACAGTTTTGACTTCTGTAATATTTCACTGTGACAGTGCTTGCACACAGGTGCCACAAACCTGTGCCTTCTCCATAACTATAGTTCTATATCATCCCTTCAATACATGACCCTTTCATAAGCTTCAGTGCTTGTTTTCAAACCCCTTCCCCTTCCCCATCTTGCAGCATACAGCTCCTTGGTCAAAAATGCACATATCCATCTCCTCCTGATAGATGTAAAACTAATGCTTTGAACCTCCCCACCTGCCTCTGATCCTTCTCACGGTTTCTTACCCTTGCTACCCTTCACGCCTTCTTTTCTCTGTGTTGATGAATGTTTGCTCTCAAGGGGAAAGAAGACCTTAGTTACAGATGCATGAAACACCTTTTGAAGAACCAGTGAGCCAAACCTTCATCCCTGTCCAGAGGAAATGGGATGTCACCTCCCTTTCTGAAATAAGACAGGCAGCCTTTTTGAGGCCCCCAGGTGGACTTACAGGTGTAAGAGCCTATGACACTTTTTGCACTGAGTGCTAGGAGTGGAAGATTGCTTAAAAAGCTGTTGTAATCTATCACCACCTGCATTTTCAAGTCTTGTTTTACTGGATGTATAAGTCCAAAGGGAACTGAGAACTAAGAGGAGCAACACCACTCACCATTTTCATGCTTCCAGCATAGCTGACCCATGTTTACATATCTCCAGAGAAAAATGTGAGGACTCTTTGTCTATCCAAAGACCAATGTCTAGACCAGCCCAAGAGTGGGCTGACAAGCTGTCAGGTAGACAACATCAGTGCAGTGATTGTCTGTATTGCTTGGTGTAGGATCAATTTTTTCTTGACTGCAGGACAGGAGAGCATTATTACCTAGTATATAATTATGAGTCCACATACTACAAAAGGCAAAAGAGGGAAAGGGTTAGTGAAATGGCCTATTTTATTTTTCAGTAGCTCTCTTTAAACATCCCTAAGGATTTCTTACCTCCCATTAAAATTTTACCTGGAAATGCTGATTGTAAGGAATCCAGTACTGATACAGGCAAAGAAAAGCAGACTGTTAAATACTTTTGCTGCAATAAATCTCCAGGCACTTGAAAGCCAGTAGGGCATGGGGAGGAGAAAGGGTGGATGAAACAGGGGCTGCATATTTTAATAGGATGGTTAAAAATCCTGTATCAGGACTCAGCAAATACAAGATATATAAATATAATTTTAAAAAATGTTTTATTGCTCCATTCTTGCAAGTTGTACTTTGTCTACTGTTCTTGTCTACGTGAAAACAAAAAACTTCCCTGATTCCTGCAGAGCCCTGCTTACTCTGCCCTCTTCTTTCCCTCTAAGCTTGTTGAATAAACTGCTCAGCTGAATAACTAGAGATATTCCCCTCCCCTTTTCTCCCAACCTAGCAGTCTTTCCCTCTCCAGCATTTTTTTCAGTGCTCTTTTTCATTCTCTCTGCTGACTCCATTTGCTTATGAAGATGAGGGGTCCAAAGCCACATAAGAACCAGATCTGTCCACATTCCTGCATTCAAGGCTGAGTGTTTGCTTTCTTTTTTTTCTTTCTTTTCATTGAAAAAGAGTATCCTAAAAGAAGTAGAAATGAGTCTGAGCAGATAGAAATGAGTCAGAGCAGAGCATGCACCCACAAACCTAAAACAGTTTTAGGGAGGCTTAGGGAAATCTCTGAAATAGAAGTCATAGATGTGGAACAGATATCCCCCTTCCAAAGCATTTGCATGCATGTGGAAGGAAGCAGGTGGAGCTCACGAAGTCTGACCCCAAAACAACTGAGAGCTGGATAGCCCGTCTCTTCTAAGCCAGAAATTGAGATATGTGCTTTGCCTGGCTGTTTGTTTGGGCCCATCACTAAGGCTTCAGTAAGTGAGGTGAATGATGCCCTTCCAGAAACTAACAGCCATTTCCTTGTGGCCTCGGTGTAGCTGAATGCAGAGACAGAACCAGGGCCAGCAGTAAGTTAACCACAAAGCAACAGAGGAAGGCAAGGAATGAATTAGATTAATAAGATTGAGATCTTTCACTGTATATGCCAACCATTTCATATTTCTCAATGCCTGATAACATGCAGAGGAAGGCAGCAGCTACCTGGTTAGCACGGGGCAGGGAAAAAAGAATAACACGTTCAGTTTTGCAGGGCACAAATACTATGTATTTCCTCTTTCTTTGTAGAAGAGCAGTTGATGTCTGTCTAGCATTTATCATTAGAGAATAAGAAAGCACTCAAGCTCTTCAGACAAGTTACCATGCACAGAAAGTACTTGCCTGCTGTAGTAACTGGTTTGCTTATGTTTGTAATGAAAGTGAAGGGAAATATAATATTACCAAGCCGCCAGTGTCCACCAACTGTGGATAAATGGCAATCTCTGCTATGAAGAAACTCCTTTGCTCTCGACTGAATGTTCCCATCTCGGGGACGAAAGGTTCCACTCTTCACAGCACACCACTGCATTGGAAGGCAGATACAAGGGAGCCTGTTTCCTTCTGGGAGCTGGAGAATGAAATTACTTAGGTGGGACATAAATGATTTGAATTTGTTAAAACAATGGAGCCAACAGTCCCAATATTGAGAAAAGCATCGTGGGCTTTTAATGATCATGAACAGGCCTCACCTCCATGGTGTATGTTAGATAAAAAACACCTTCAATATCTATGTTTAGAGAATTTAATGTGATCATTCCTATGTCTGATCAGGATTAATCCCCCAATCCAAGAAAACTAAAAGGGACTAGAAATGCCCCCAAAAGGCTACCTTTCCGGTAGTAGCCAGTCCCTTTCCCTCGGTAGCATCCCAGAGCCTTTCCTCAGGTATGGCCTTCCATACATCCTCTCACAGAGGACTAGATTAACAGCATACAACCCTGCTGCCTGGAGGTCCAAATGACATGAAAAATCATATTCATGTGCACAGTGCCCAACCCATGTTAATACTGCAACCTGCTCTAGTGGCTGTCTTAATGAAATACCTGTTCTACTAGCGCACAATCCTACACCCCTCTCTGGCTCCTAGCTCCGCTGGAGCGAATGCCAGTGTCAGGGAGGCTGCACTGTAGAGAGAACACAAATTCAGGACAATGAGGAAGCAGTTCTTGACCCTGGTAGGTCCCAGAAATAGTTAGATGCATGACAGCCTGCTTCCACAATGCATTCAGCATCTTCATTTCCAGGTACCTGTTGCAAGAAGGATCTGATGGTGCTGAGAAGCTTGCAAGTACAAGCCACAAACCACACATGCAGATGGCAATACTCACGTCGGCTGTAGTTCATTTTTCAAATGTGGTTTCCCTTGGAGCACTCAGGTGCTTCAGGCTTAGTGACTGAAAGGTGCGCAAGGAGATACTCAGGAAGAAATAAAATGCAAGCAAAGAAAGTCTAACACCCAGTGTAGCCAGAGAGCTTAGCAAGGCTGCAAAACAAAGCATCAATTAGCAACCACATACAAATGCCCCATGTTTGTAACAGCAGCAATAAGATGGGATTTGCCTGTATCCAGCATTACATTCACTGACGTTTCAGTGCGGAGTGGCCAAGTGACTCCAAGTAATAGACTGAACTATTTCAGCCACACGGTACTGTGTCCTCCTGCTAGGTGGGACAGCAATGCTCCCCCACTCAGGAGAAAACTAGGACCTCACCCCTAGGTGCTTTACGCTCCCAGCCTCTTTATTTCTGTAGGTGTCCTATCCTAAACACTCTTCCTCTTCCTGCTCATTGTCTTCATCCCCCACACACCCCCACGCACGTGGCTCTGGATCTCCTCATCATGTTCTTCTCGTTAAAAACCCCATTGTTCATTTGTTTGTTTGTTCTCTCTCTCCTCTTTTTCTCTCTCTTTCCCTCTCGTTTTTTTTTTTCTTTCTTTCTTTCTTTCTTTTTTTGTCTCCTCTGTTTTGTGTACCCAGGCAGCCCATTGAGTAACTTCTTTGACGTAATTAAACAACTTTTTTCAGACGAGAAGAACGGGCAGGTGAGCCATCCCCCCGGCACGCCAACCAAGCATAGCGCAAACAGCAAGCGGAGCGATTCCGGTTCTAATGACTATGGGTCTAGAGGAGACAATAAGTACCCTGCTGGCAAAGACAAGGCAAAGATGGTCTCATCAGTCGGCCTACAAGACCAACCTTAAATAAACACATAAAAAATTAAATAACTTAGAAAAAAAAAACAAAAACAAAAAAGCAAGAAAGAATGAAAGAATATTCCTTAGCAAGCTAGCCTCTAAACTAGAAGGATGTATATATCTTGCCACAACAGTACAAAACTGTCTATAGACAAATTTTGTATGAAGGAATGACTGTATATATATACATATATATATTTATATATGATATATAATATATATCTCAGAAACAAACACAAAAACAAATGAATGAAAGAATGAAATGAAAAGAAAGAAAAGAAAAGGTAGCACAGATGACAAACCCAGTTCACCAGATCTTGGGTTGTGTTTTTTTCAATTGGTTTTTTTTCCTCCCTTTTTTTGAATGTTTTGCTTTTTTTCTCCTTCCTGATTTTTTGGGTTTTTTATTATTACTATTATTTTTTGTTTCCTTTTGTTTTGTTTCTTGTTCTGTTCATGCTCTCTCTGTGTTTCTGACGACACCACTTGTTTCCGCTCTGCTACCAGGAATTATCCCGAAAAGTTAACATGTCAGCCACGGCTTCACCTTCTGTGCTCTGCGGACACTTGTTGACGGAAGGCAACCGATGTAGACTGTCCAAGGACCAGTCCTGTTTGAGGTTCCCAGCCTCCCCTCTCCCTTCAGGAAGTGGGTTTCTCCCCACTTCTCCCCAAACACCTCCCCAATGCACGCCTTTTTTCCTCCCCCCCCACACCTCTTTTTCTTTTTTGGTGCTCCACAAGAGAGATCTGCTCAGTTACGGGATTGCAGAGTCTGGGCTGAAAGGAGGTTGCAAATTGTTGAAGTGAAACCTTTACCCTTGGCAACTTCTGTCCACGCAGGTGAACTCAGCCCGGAGGGGGAGGGTGCGGGGAAGGAGACGGGTGTAGCGGGAGCACAGTGTTTCATGAATCCAGAGCGCATTCTCATCAGAAACCAGCCAGGAGCAACTCAAAACTAAGCGTTGAACCAAGACAATATTGGGGAGCTTCATCATGGGATTTTCTTAACTTTCTTTTTCTCCCCACCACCTTTTCCTTTTCTTTTGCCCCCTTTTTTTATATATACATGTATATATGTGTGTATATTTATCTATAAATATACATACATACATATATATACAAAATAATTGGTTTTTTTATACTGTATCATTTTGCTTTTTGACCTGCTGGAAGGGGAAAGGAGTAAACTTAGGAGGGAGAGGGGGTTCAATGAATAAACACATACAAATAAAACATTAAAACTTAGGGAAAAGGCAACTTCTGGTAGCAAAGAAGAGGGACAAGACTCTGCCAAGGACTGTCTCTCCTGCCACCAGGCACAGTTGCCGCTGCTGCTACTGCTGCTCCTCCTTCGACACCTTCCTCCCCACCTGTCAACTCCCTGCCACTGTGCCACCGCGCTGGGACCTTCTTCGACCAGCTGGATCCTCCACCACACCCTGCATTTAGAGGCAATTGTTGTGTTGCTAGTGCTGCATTGATATCAGTATTATTATTTCTTTAAGTTACCGGTTTCATTTGTTGGCTTGGGTGATTTTTTTCTAAAAAAAAAAGAAAAAAAGAAAAAAAGGAAAAAAAAGAAGATGAAGAAGAGGAAGAAAAGAGACTTATCTTGGGTTTTATTTCCTCTGTGTGTGTGTGTGCAAATCACTGGCACTTAGTTCATCAGAGCAAGACAAGGTGGAGTCAGGGCAATGGGAGACTTAATCACAAAGCTACTGTAAACTTTAAAAATTACTGCAAGATATTTTTATAAAGTTTTTTGTTTTGTTTTTTTTGTTTTGTTTTGAAGGGGAGGAGGGTGGGATTGGGTGGATGGGGACTTTTTTTTGTGTTTCAGTTATTAGGTCTTGGTTATTTATATATACATATATATATATTTAAAAAAATAAGCTGTTAGATATATCTTCTGTTTAATAACTGTGTAGAGGCAACATTGATTCTTATTTATTTTGGGGAGGAGGGGGAAAAAAGACACAGAAACCCCAGAAGTGTTCATCTCATGACTCCGAGAAAGAAGAATCGCCACCTTTTTTCCTCCTCCTTAAGAGTTATGTGACCAAGTGTAACTTATTCTGGCCCAAGCTCAAAGGTTAAACAAAAAAAACGTGGTTTTACGCGTGGAAGACAAAACACAGTGAGAAGTACTTCTTGACTGAGATTTTAAGAATGTAGGCTTAGCATTAGTGTTCAGCTCTTTTATGACCTTCGATTGCTGCTCGTTGGGTTCCTATGGGTGTATGTTGTATCGCAAGATTATTTTTTTTAATGATAATGTTGGATGAGTTCTTTTTTGTTGTTGTTGTCGTTGTTGGTTTTTTTAATCATTTTTCCCCTTCTTGGACCAGTTTTACTTGTACATAGGTTTGAAGATTAAAAAGAATTTTTAAAGACACAACTGGGGCAAAGACCTTTGACTTTTGCCCTGTTTCCCCATTCCCCCAAATGGGAGGGATTTATTTTAATTTTTTGCTTTATTTATTTATTTATTTTCCCTATTCTTAAACTTTTCTCTCTCGTATTGCTGTGTGCATGTCAGACACCAGGGGGTGATGGCTGGGGAGGGGGGGAGGCAAGGGTGCAGAAGAGGGGGGCAGTTTTAATTGCATGACATTGCTGTAAATTAGTCTCTTTTGCTTTCGTTGTCTTTCCTGCCTCCGCCCTCTCTCTACTTCTCCTCCGAGCTCCCCTCCCATCACCCCCGTCCTTCTTTTCCCTCTTTTCTCTTCCCTTGTGTATAGATTTTGATGCTTCTGTTACATTGTACCTCTACAAAAGGCTGGGATTTCAATACAAAATAATAATAATAATTTAAAAATACCTATATCAGCAAAACCCATGTGGTACAAGCAGGAAGGGGATTACTTACACAAGATATAAGAATAAATGAAAGCAATACCTCTTGTTATCCTTCCTATTTTGTACTTTGAAGACACACACGCGCACACACACACGTATACAGACACAAACTGACGTTATTTAATGGTTTAAAATGGACAAAAAAATCTGATGTATCCCTTGTTAAATAACTGTGAGCAACTTTAGTTCAAAAACCAATAAATTCATTCAGTAAAGATACTAGCTGCTGAGTGTCCTGTTTATGTCCATGAAAATAAACTTCTCGCCACTGCCAAGACCCAGTAAGTACCCTGTCACGACTTTCTACACCAAAGGACCCAAAGATGGCCGGCACATAAGGCAGCGTCCTCCCGGCCGTGGCATTAACGTCGTCTCCTCGCAGCCCTGGGGTCTGTAGCGCTGCACCCAGCGTGCTACTCACAGCACAGGCACGCCACGTGCGGGCAAAGAGCAAGGACGGCTCGACCCCGTGGGCCCGGTTTTCTGCAGTAACACGTTGAAAAAGATTAATCCAAATTACAGAGCAATCACGCACCCCCTAGGTCTGATCTGGATGGAAACCACTGTAACCAAAAAGTGTTGCTGCTTGTCATCATTCTCATCGCTAACCTGAGCTTCTCACGTTGCTTCCAGATGTAGCATAGGAAGGATTTCTCCACCCTCCCCGCCTGCAACACTCTCAGTCCCATACATTTGAAAAAGCTTATCAGGTATGTCCCTGGCTTGCGTGGGGTTTGGGGGGGTTTCTCGCCGGTTGGTCGGTTGGTTCACGTGGCCGCTGGCTTGTCACGCATCCCTCTCGGCTTGTGAGTGCCCACCTTTACGCTGGAACTTCTTCCAGGTTACCAGGAGAGCCCGGCAGTTCGCCTCTCAGGCTCGCCGGTTCGGCTGGTGGGTGCCCAAGAATAAACCGAGACCTCTGCGGGTGCTTCCCCGCGCGGCTGGGCTGAACGGGGCAGGCCCAAGCCCGGGGCGGGTCTGCGGCACCATCCCCGTGGGCGTTCGGGCCCGGGGCCCTGCGCTCGCCGCGGCCCTTGCGCTCGCCGCGGCCCAGCCGCCCTCGGCAGCGGC